GCAGTGGTATCAACGCAGAGTACTTGTCTAACCAAAATTTAGCTGCCGAGATTTTTGCATTTTGCAAGCCTGTCGAACCCTGTCTAGCACTGTATGGGCTTAAAATCGCACGAAGTTTCCAAAAACCCCGTTTTCTGGAGGCCCGCGGGAGCAATGTGGACGAGTTGTACCTTCCAACTTCAGCCTCAGCCGCAGTGGCGGCAGCAGAGGGGAGGTGGATGCCAGTGGAGGGACATGTTCAAACGCGTAAGGGGGGAGACCGACGGTGTCGTCCGCGCGTACCAACTCGCTCTCCGCGTACCACTTTAAGCGAAAAGCAGTGGTATCAACGCAGAGTACTGGTCAAATTGAGTGGGACTTGTTGTAATGGCCTATTCAGAGGTCCCTATAATAGAATATATGAAGATCCGCACGACCTCAACTTTGGTGAGACACTCCCTTTAAGAGACTAGATTTATACTCCACACTAGTAAGGCTCTCATTCGCTCGTGAAATGACTGTCCTGAGGAGACAGTGGAAATACGCTTGAGCGGTACGACAAATGATGCAAACAATTGTTTGGCGTTTTCGAAGGCAATTGCATATGACAGTTAACAAAGACGGAGCTTGAATTTAGAGAAGATGATCATTACCAGTTAAACGTCTGGAAAGCCGTTACTGACAGAAAAAACGGAAGGGAAGAAATACGGGAAAGAATGGAGAAGATGGAAGCATATGTGAAAAGCAGTGGCTTACCGGGGGAGAAGAGGCAGCCCCCCCCCCCTCTCCCTAACTTGAGAATGGGTCGCGAAAAATTAAATCTCCTAAATGAGTCAAAAAATCATGCAAGAGATTTGTTTTTACTTTTGAATAAATAAGATAACATTTTGTATTGTTTAGTTAATTCGTCTTGATTATGAAACATGGGCTAAATTTCACAGGAACTTGTGAAAAGACAATACATATTTCAGTCAACACGTAAGGCAATAAAGTCAAGTGGAGAGGAGAGGATGAATGACACATTGCTGATGACCTTCCGCCATCATTATCCTCTGATGAAAAACCAAAAAGTTTTCAAACAGGAGTTGATGAAAAGATGTGATTAGAATTTTAAATACATCTTATTAATTTTGGAAGCTTCCACAAATCTTCAAACCCGATCTTCAACCGTTCATTGATTTTTTGATAGTAAGATAAAGGTCCGTAGTAAAGCTGCATCAGTCGATCTCAATTGAATGAAAATTTAATTAAGGCTTGGACGAGTCAGCTTACCTTCAGTCAAACTATTGATCCATATCGTTCAGTTAAACGTAATTATTCTCGAAAAGAGCACGTATTGTACAAGTCAAAACTCGTAATTTACCCCATTCCAATATTCTACACTAGAAATGAAAAGAGTGGTTTAAACTTGTCAGAAATGTATGTTGTGACTTCCACTAGGCTGATTCCAAGAATGGATGATAGTTCTAAGCTCTTATGTGGGAAAGTCCTATTAGAAAAGTGAGTTCAAGCGCATTGTTGGAAGGTTAAAAGTACAACATGGCCTAATAGTCAGCTCTTGCGATTTTGTGGGCGCATGATTTATCAAAGAGTCATTACTAACACATCTTTGGTGGTAATGATCATCCCTCTAAATTCAAGCTCCGTCTTTGTTAACTGTCATATGCAATTGCCTTCGAAAACGCCAAACAATTGTTTGCATCATCTGTCGTACCGCTCAAGCGTATTCCCACTGTCTCCTTAGGACAGTCATATCACGAGCGAATGAGAGCCTTACTAGTGTGGAGTATAAATCTAGTCTCTTAAAGGGAGTGTCTCACCAAAGTTGAGGTCGTGCGGATCTTCATATATTCTATTATAGGGACCTCTGAATAGGCCATTACAACAACCCACTCAATTTGACCCCCTCCACGCTGAGAAAAATTCGCTTAAAGTGGTACGCGGAGAGCGAGTTGGTACGCGCGGACGACACCGTCGGTCTCCCCCCTTACGCGTTTGAACATGTCCCTTCACTTGGCATCCACCTCCCCTCTGTTGCCGCCACTGCGGCTGAGGCTGAAGTTGGAAGGTACAACTCGTCCACATTGCTCCCGCGGGCCTCCAGAAAACGGGGTTTTTGGAAACTTCGTGCGATTTTAAGCCCATACAGTGCTAGACAGGGTTCGACAGGCTTGCAAAATGCAAAAATCTCGGCAGCTAAATTTTGGTTAGACGCTGCCTTTAATACTCGATTGCGAAACGAGCGCCTTTCACGTACAAGAAATGATAAAGATAGCAATTAGCTGCACTTCGTGATCGCCTGTTCGCATTATCTTTTTCGTATCTCCAAGATTTAGCTACAGCCCCTCCCCCTACTTTGAGCTACTCAGAACACAATATAATGGACGAAATGCTATTTTCAACAGTCTATCACATATTTTACATTTCGGCTCCATCTTAAACTTTTATCCTGTTCAAGGACTCCACCTGTTTTGAAAACATTTGAATCTCTTGAATCCTATAATGCAGATCTAACTAAAAACTAAGACAGTTAACTAAGACATCGCTGAGCTTCTACCTCTTGTTTAACCACTTCCATGAATGTTTTGCATAGAAGCCACTGATAACCTTTCAATCAAGCAAATTCGGAGCGATTCGCATAGTTGTTAACACGATGACAAGAAATGAAGGTAATGCAAAGGGAAGAATTCTTGATAAGAGCTTTATTATCGAATCCTGCGAGCAAGTTGATTTCCAACACGGACACAGCCACTTAGGCATCCACCGAGTTTTGACGAACTCCAGAGTGTGCAGCTGTGATTACCTGCTTGAAGGGCACCTGCCTGTCTTAATACCCCGCAGATGTTGATAGTTCTACAAAACATCTGTTTCGCATACAAAGAAAGCAATGATTGCTATAAGGACCTGCATTAAGACTTGCCCTCATTTCGTACTTCCAATAATGATACATCGCCTCCAGTACTGTGAGAGTCAGAACCACTTTCGAACAGTGAAACAAATATCGTTCCTTGTAACACCCAAAGTAGGCCGAACAACAAAAATTATAACCGATTCTCAAAACGCATATACATTTTGTCCCAAGACACCTAAAAGTCAGTCGTTAGATTGAACTGACGATAAACAGCGTCAACAATAAAGGATGTACATGTTCATTGTGAAATCAGCTATCATATGTCCAGCGTAAAAGTAAAAAAAAGAGCCGTCATGTTTTAGCTAGCCAAACTCATTCTTAGGTCCGTATGTATATCACGGGAGGAGGGGAGGGGATCTGGGTAGAGGATTATGGGCCGCATGCATTAACATCCCCGCCAGGGAGGGGATTGCAGCTTAAAAAGCTTCATGTAGTAAAGCTCCGAAATTCTGGATTTCACGCTGTCTGCCCATCCGTAAGTATTCTTACCACCCTTCACTATGAACATATTGAACAGGAGTGAGAAGCTGTGCAAGCGCATTTCCAAGCGTTTTGTGTGATCCCCTGATGATCCCGGTGGTGACCGTCTTTTCTTCAAAATCGCTTTTCTTTCTTCGAAGTCAACGAAAACGTGCCAAACTTGTAACTGATTATCTAATCCAACAGTGCCAACGATAAGCATGTTGCTGATAAGAACAAATTGTTTTTTGAAAAATCGAATTTCGACAAAATCCAGCTTCCCGTTTGGTTCATCGCAATTCCATGACTCCATTACATCATTTGTTCTTATCAGCAACAAACTCATCACTGCTCTTTTAGTTAATCAGTACAACTTTGGCCCATTTTCGTTGACTTTAAAGAAAAAAAAACGAGGAAAAACCGCTTCTCTTCTCCGAAGAGAACATGGTCGACCGCGGGGATCATCAGGGAAATATACGAAATGCTGGAAAGCGGCTTGTACACCTTCCGCTCCTGTTCAATATGTACATAGTGAAGGAAGGTAGGATTACTTACGGAGAAATAAACAGCGTGAAATCCAGATATCTGGAGCTCCAGGATATGAAGCTTTCTTTGTAAGCTGCGATCCCCTCCCCAGCGGGATGTTCATGTTTAATTCATGCGGCCCTATATGCCGCCGAGAGTAGTAGGATCCGCGCGGACAATGCAGCAGATACTCAGCCTTTGCATGTACCGGAATGTGCAGTTGCTGCAGATGTCCAGCGGGACCTCCCACTTAATCAGTACAACTTTGGCCCATTTTCGTTGACTTTAAAGAAAAAAAACTAGGACACTTTGGTCTTTGGTCTTTCGATTACATATAATCCCCTACCAGGGGATTTGAGAAGGGAAGCGTCATATCTCGCTGCTCTGGATATCTGTCTTCTTTTTTCTTTATCTGCATTACGATGGTTCTCATACCGTGATACCTGCGCATAACGGTTGCAAGGGTACTGCCATACA